TTGAAATTCTGTAGAGAGCAGAGTTCTTTAGGCACTGGGGTCACATTTGTTCCCTATTCCCTTGCAGTTGTGGTATCTTAGAGACCCCAGACTATTTGTGGAACTACCAATCTTTCTCAACAGTCTCCCCCCTGCTCATAGGTTATCAGATTTCAGCACCATCTAACCAAAGCACAAACCTTTTCTCACAAATAAGCCGTGAACCTATACCTTGACCCTTTCCCCACTTTAGTCTTAATCTGGGGCTTGGATCTCTTGCCTACCTTCGCCTCTCTAATAATAGTTGTGGTTCTTGGGCACCAGGGAGAGGTTATTTGATCTTATGAGCAGATCTCCTCCAGGTGGTTAGGAGGAATTTCCTTTCATGGAGTGTATTTCAGAACCAGCCAAGTATATTATGGGGTTTCGCCTTGTTCTGAAGCAGCTGAGGCTGACCACTGCCAGAGGCAGAATGCCAAACACCAGACCTGATCTGAAATAGGAAGCATAATGCACCTCTTCTCTTACATTAAATGAGACTGGTTTTAGGTGGGGCAGCAAGCCATGAAATGTCAGCCTGTGACTGCTGCTGCTGCAGAGCTAAAAATGGTCAGGCTAGCTCAGCTTCTTTATTAAGGTACTTGCACATACAGGTGGGACTAAGGGACAATGGAGGGGGAGCACAGCCAAGAGACTTTAATGAAGGGAACAAGAATGAAGGACCTGCTGGGTTGCAGGCTGCCCCACCAGTGTGAGATAACCCAAGCTCTTTGCTAAAGCCTCCCATTTCAGAGGCAAAGCCCCTAATCCCTCTGATCATTACTGGTGTTACATTATTCCTTGAGATGAGTGCCGGCACACTGAAAGGAGAAATAATTTAATTTGCAATGCTTGCTGCCGAGCTTGGAGAGAGGAGGAGGCAGCTGCAATGAAGAAAGGTCTGGGAACTGATGGCGTGAGACAGGAGAAAATGAACAGGGGATAACAAAGAAGCACTGGTCTGTGTGTGTCCATCCATGTGTGTGCATGGTCTTCTCTTTTTGTGCCCAGTCCAGAGAGGTCAGCAGTCTCTTACAGTCTAACTCTTTAGCTTAATCTATGCTGTCTCATGCTTTAAGCTCTGAGGGTCCTTGCTTCATACCCTGGTGTCAGCTAAGGTGGAAGCTGTTATTGTGTCACACTGTGGGCGCTATATAGAGTGGCCATTAAAGAAATCTGGGACAGTAAGGATACTGTCCCCTTACTCCCCACCAAGTCAGAGGCGCTGCTGCAGGCTGTGGAAAAGGCTGGCCGTCAGAAATGCAGGAATAGTCTGTAGGGGAGGTGGAGCTGCCTGGTGCACCATGCCTTTCCACCTCCCTGCTGGATTGTGCCCCACGCCTGGGATTCTCATTTTAATTTTCCCCAGCCGTCTGGGACCAGCCTTTGAAATCTGGGACTGACCTGGCCAAACTGGGTCATATGGTTCCCCCAGTGCTATACAAGTAATAACTATGGCTGATAGCTTACTATAGCAGCAGGCCTTAGGCAGCAAGAGAGGGCAGAAGAAAAGGATCATGTAGCCAAGAACTGGAAACCACCAACAGGCAACCAGAGGCTGCTCAGTGACCACTCTGAGGTGCTGCCATTTTGCAGCACTGTTCCACTCCATATGGGTATCAGTTGCCAAGCATCCTTGACAGCACAAAAGATTGAGAGGGCACCTGCCCAGCAGTAACCTACAAGATGGAGCTAAATGGATGCTCCCTGCAGCTGCCGGCAGAGAGAGCAGTGCCAATCCTGGCTTCTCTGCGATGGGCAGGAGGAGGGTTGAAGGAACTGGAACCAGGGCCCCCTCCTAGCCAGGCAGCAGCTGATGGGCAGATGCCAGGAAATGCTGCAGCTTTATCACCTCTGACAGAGAACCGGCTGCCTGCCTGCACTGAGGAGAAGTTAGCTGCTGCCAAAGAACAAGAGCTTACCCCCTTACGAGCAGTAAGGTCACCCAGAGGCAGGTTTTGCATGACCAAAGCCTGAGTAGGAAACCCCTGACCACAGGGCAGGACTTCAGAGGGGGACTCTGTTGAGGGACTTAGAGGCCTAACAAATCCCAACCTGCCATGGCTGTCGGTTATGGTGGCATCTGTTGGAGTATGTGGGCTGTGGCCATGCCCAGGTCCAGAGTATCTCAGCAGGCTGGCAGTAGGTGCGTGGACCCTCTGAGAGGACTGCCATCTGTTGGGCCCTTGCATATCAACAGCAACACAGAGGGGCCTCGGACAAACTTGTTTGCTTACTCTAGGCTCTGTAACACTCAGGTAGCTACCTGCACTTGTGCAGTGATATGTCTGATGCTCCCTCACTAAGCTGGTTATCTCCTCTGCTTGAGAAGGCCTGCATCAGCATGGACACCCATGGGCAGACTGTGCCCATGACACTGCTGCACAGTGGCTGCTTTGGAAATGCCTTGCTGTGCATTGTGTTCACCCTGCTGACAGCTCAGCAAGACACTTATGCATGTGCTTAAATTTCATTGGGGCCACCAGTGTTTCTCTGGCTCAGCAACTGATGCAGCCTATCCTACTGTATCACCCCCATCCACCTATGGATTCTAGGAGCAAATGCCTCAGCTCCTGGGCAGTGTTATTACGTGCTGTGAACAGGCAGCAAAGAAGTTGCCGGGAAGAGGTGAAATGCCCTCCAGTCCAGACCAGTCACTAACTCCTTTCTCCTCAGTCCCCAACGCCCCTGCCCCGGCACTAGCAACATCCACTGCTTCATCAATATGTTTTGCAGAAATCATCTGCAGGAGTGAACAGATGACTGAGTCTTCCTGTCTCATTCAGCCCTTGGCCTCACACCTTAGATTACCAGAGAGAGGTGTAGGTGTGATGTGCTCTAGACCTGGAATGAACCTCATCAACCTACCTCTCTGCTCCCTCAGCCCCTTTTGGGAGTGTACAGTATTTTAAGCCTGTTGTCCTTTGGTAGTTCTTTGCATAGGAGACCAAGACCTACTAATAGCTCAGGCAGAGGTATGGCCTGTTTGGGAATCCTGACCAGGCTGGGAGCTGAGCTGCTCAGGCCTGTCAAACCTGAAACACTTCTGGGCATGCCCAGCTGCACTTTAAAACTGAAAACTGAGAGGTCTGTGGGCTCTAGGGGCTTTTAGGGATAGTTGGGTGAGGTCTTGAGGCTTGGGGCCAGGGACCCAAGTAATCTTGTTGACCTAGGCCTCATTGAGTTGCCCAGGTGACATGGGAAGTTTGTGGAAGAGCAGCAAGCAGCACCCATAGATCTCCTCAATTCTAAACTAGGGCTACTCCTGCTCTAAGCCCTGGATCTGTCCTGAAAAATGAATATTTCCAAGCACATTTAACAAGATAGCTATTGCATGTTTAATAGGTGACATTGTTATGTGGACACAAACTTCATGAGGAACATTGCCCAGAAAACATAAAAGATACCGTCATCTGTCAAGCTTCCATAAACACATGTTTAGGAATCAATTGCCATTTATGTAGCACCAAATAACCACCTTTTTAAATAGCAGTGTCTTGGTAGTATCAATGACAAACATTTCACCCAGAGATCAGGAGCTCTGTGGCACTGCAACTAACCTAGCTTTGCAAAATTCTATTCCCTTGTTTGCCTGGGCAAACCATCGTCATCATCATCATCATTATTATTATCATTATTATTATTATCATTATCATTATGCAAATAAAATCTCCTTAGCGTTCCAGTCATCTTCAATGTTAAATTGAGTGAGTCAACTTGGAGATTTTTGGACCTGAGTCAGTATGTGCTTGGGATGGGTTAACCTTCAAACTTCCAGTTGCTAGTTTCTTATGATGAAGCATATTTAACCCCACACCTGAAAGATAAAGTGTCACTGTCCCTTTAATCCTTCATTTCTCCAAACAGAGACATTCAGTTATTGGACAGCATTTCTAAGGGCCTTGTTACATGCCACACTGTAAGCCACACAAATGTTGATCAGTTTAGTGCTAACTTGCAGTCACCCTCAATTTGGGAGGCACATTTGCAGCCAGTGGCTGCACCTTAATGGAACAGAAATGGGGCTATGCAGATCAAGAAATAATCCTGCCCTGGAGTGGCATAAATTTTTGCTGCATAACAGGTTTTTTAAGCCCCTTAAAGGTGTTAACATGTGGACAATCCAGGGGTTAAGAGCTCCAGGAGCTGTGCAACATTACCATGTAACAAGGCCCTGAGTCCAAGGAGAAACATAAATACCTAAAGCCTCCTTTCTTCCCAAATCCAAACACCGCAGCATAATCCAGGATATTACAGGTAGCATTTTGTGCTACAAGTTCATCAGGTAATTCTTACCTCATTCCACTTTACTGAGGATCAGTTACTTAGGTCTTTCCTCTCCCTGAATGATTAATTGTATGTTTTCCAGCTCAGAAAGGAACAGTTATATTGAGGTCACTAACGAGCAGCTACAGAGGAACTCCCAGCAGGCAACAGTGTCAGAAATACAGGACAGTTTCTGTGCCAGCATGGACAGGGGGCTTTTAAGAATAAGATGCAAATAATGTTTTTGTGGCACTGTTTACTAAGGGCTCCTCTGCAGATGATTCTTTGTCAGGTAGAGCATTGGGTTCAAATCAGCGTACAAGTGAAACTGCTTATGTAAAATAAGCAATCCAGACATTTGCTCTGAATTCAGCCTGCAACCTCCAGTCTTCCAGAGATTTGGAAGAGAGTGATCTAGTGTGCAGCCCATTATTGGGTTTTGCAGGGTTTCTTGGTTTTGGCTGGGTGCAGAAATCCTGACACACAACCTAGCAGGGATGTTTCCTGAGAGGGTAGTGCTGGAAAGCCTAGTCTCTTAAGCTTTCCAGTCCCAGAGGTTCCACCTATATCCAGACCAGCATCCTAGCCTCTTGGTCCCTGTCCCATCTGACTTTCCCAAGGTCTCTTTCCAAGTATCTGCAAACTGCCCTGCAGTTGTAGACCCCAGCTCAAACAGGGATACAGCCCAACACAGACATATGTGCACTAGCACTTACCTCCAGAACCATCTCTGTCATCTGGAACTGCTTCTGGGAGACTTTATCAGAACCCGTGGGCTCATGGAAGAGCAGGCAGAGCATGTCATACTTCTTCAGTGCCTGCTTATAGTTCTTCTCGTTCAGGTCAATCACCCGATCCTTCCCATCGTAGGTGGGGAAATTCAGTCCTTCTTCTGCCTTGCAGCAGAAAAGCAGGTACAAACCTGCCACAAGCCAGAAAGCCACCTTCATTGGGGCAATGGGTGTCCAACCTTTTCTTGTTTATCTGGGGAGAGAGACAACGAATGGAGCTTATGTTTCCTCTGCCTTCCGAATGACCAGTCCAGCTCTTCAAGGCCAAGTGGGAAGCAGCAAACTTTGCAATCCTGGGCTCAAGACAAAGAGACAGACAGGAGAAGCTGTGAGGCCAAGCCCCTGGATACCTTACATAGCTCTGCCTGGCTTCTGTGTCATTAGGAACTCCATTTTTAGGAAGCAGTTGTTTCAGGCTAAAAATAAACCCTGCAATGAATAAAAAGGACAGATATGACACCATTGAGGGACTTGCTGGCACTCTGCATCCTCTGAGAGAAAGAGAGAGAGGGAGTGAGTGAGCAAGAGAGAGAGAATGGGAGGATGTTGCTATTGAGAACACAAGCAGGCAGATTTTACCAAGGAAAGATGTTCAGTTATATAGGAATCGAAGTACAATGTGTCCTAGTAGGACTTTTTAAAATAGTTACTGGGGCACTAAAGATACTTTTCCTTCTAAATACCATGGATTCATGCCTAGATATTGGAATGTTTGGATTCTGGAAAGAACTGAACAAGCTGATCAATACTGCAGCAGAATTGTGATGAAATGTCTAAGAATGAGTCATAAAATCATAGAATCATATAAAATGAGGATTGGAAGGGGACCTCAGGAGGGTCCAATCCATTTAGTCCAACCCTCTGCTCAAAGCAGGACCATCCCAACTATATCATTCCAGTCAGGGCTTTGTCGAGCTGAACCTCAAAAACCTCCAAGGATGGAGCTTCCACCACCTCTCTAGGTAACCCATTCCAGTGCTTCACCTCCCTCTCCATCAGGTCACTCCATCAGGAAGTATGCCACATCCCTCCACCCTCAGGGAGCAAGAACAGTGAAGACCTTTGGGGTCCTCACCTCCTTCTGGGATGTTAAGCAAGGGTGATCAGTTTGGTTCAGTGGGTCATGCACCCTACCCATTCAGTTTCTTCTCCTCACTGCAAGGAATTGGACTGTCAGTGGAGTTGGGTCCTTCATGCCTCAATATCCCTGTGATCTGGAAGTGTGCAGAAACTTACCTTACAGAGGAGCTAGCATTTATCAACCCCCACACTTCACTGTGAACTGATTGAAGCATTAAAATAGCAAAGGATTCAATGGTGGGTACACATGCCTACGTGTGTGTCGGACGGGAGCTTTGTGCGTAGGGTTAACACTTCCCTCAGGACAATGGACAGAGGCCAGGTGTCTCTCCTGATCCTGTTCCCCCTCAGAGCAACTTCTGCCCTGTTGCTTATGGGGCATTGACTATAGTGTGACCTCCAGAGGTGGGGTGGCTAGTTCATAAAATTTGTCCCCATGAGTTCCTCTTTCTCACCAGAAGGTAGTCCTGGCTGACAGCTCCTCCCTAGGATCTCTCAAGTAAGGGGTCCTAGGTGTACCTCTTTCCTCTTTCATCTACATGAAGCTGCTGAGAGCACAGGAGTAGGTGAGTTGCAGTGTCTCCAACACTGTCAATGTCACCTCCTTTGTGTCTCCCTCTGATCCAGATGTTACTGTTGCCAACCTTACCCCATGTCTGGCAGGAAGTGGGGCCTGGAAGAAAGCCAGCTAGCTGCAGCTCAGCCCTGCCAAGATGGGGGTGAAGCTGATCTTCAGGAGGAAGCATTCTGAGGACCTGGAAAATTCAGTTCAGCTGAGGGCATGTGCCTCATCAACACTGGAGGGACCTGCCACCTGCAGGTCATGGAGCCACAGAATATCCCACCACCCACTTGTTCCCACTACATGTACCAGAGATGCACAGAAAGGCCAAGCTGATGTCTCAGAGAAATCCAGAGCACACTGTCTCAGAAGAGACCAAGAGTGGCTCAGCTCTGCTCTGAGTCACTCAGGGCCTCTCCTGAGGTAGGTGTCTACATGGCAGCAGGCCCAGGGTTGGGAGGGTAGCCATAGAAACATGTCTGCAGTCTGCATCAGCCAGCAGAACAGCGTTCTTTGCCATATGGACAAAGGCACAATGGCCGTATGACACTTCCTGGCAGATGCCAGTCTTGCCTCACCCCTCTTGATTGGGCTATTGCAGCAGTGTGCGCATGAGTCTATGTGGGAAAGTTACCTGCCCGCCTTCTGAATGAGGCAGGGCAGTGACAACACAGCATACCTGGTTTCTGCTCATTGTACTGCCTGGTGACTGAAATTCAAGGTCCAAGTGCAAAAACCTCAAAGACTGAGGCCTGTGTTATTGTAGCGCCTCCTCAGCAGGGGTGGGTTTAGGGGAGTGCAGCTGTGTGGTCACACCTCACTTCCACTGCCACTGTCTCTGGCCAAGCCCATCACCCTGTGCAGCCTCTCCCTACAGCTGAAGTCCCCAGGGCAGCAGGGGACACTGTGGGGCTGGGCAGGGAGCAAGTACAGGGAGGGGAGACCTACCTACTGCTGCACTTGTCATTGCTGACCCTCCTGCCCCACTCAACTGTGGGCTGCAGCTGTGTGGGAAGTCTGACTTGACATGGGACAGCACAGCTGTGGGTGGGTTTTCTCTTTCTGCACCTGCTCCCTTAGGTGTCCCTGCTGGCTGGGAACAGGTGTTGGAAGAGGAAACCCACCCTCACACTGCCATCTCGGTCCTAGGCTGATGCAGGCATGGGGGGAGCCCCAGAGCTGCTCCTGGCCCACTCCAGCTGGACTGCAGGAAGCAGCTATGGGAAAACTGGAGTTGGCCAGGCACAGTGGTGGAGGGGGACAGGTCTCCCCTTCCTATACCTGCTCCGTGCCCCACCCCCACTACATCCCCTGCTGGCCCAGGAGCTCCAATCATGCCTCACTCCCAACTCCTACCATGATCAGAGGAGTGATGTGCATCACCTCCTTTACCAAATCCTAGATCTGTCCCAGCTCCTCAGCATTTCCATCACTTCCTGCCTCCCATGTAAATGACATTGGCCTGCAACTCGATGTCCTAAAGCTGGAGCCTGAGAGAGCTGGGTACAAGGTGGTCTTTGTGGCAGGCCTATACCTTTGAAATAAACTCCCTCCAGAATCTCACTGAGGTAGAAACCTGGCCTTTTTAGAAACACCTGCAAGACTGGTGTCCTCACTGATGAGTGTGCTGGTAGAGTGGGCTGATTAAGCACTGGAGGCTTAATCTGCAGAAGTAGCATTATGGTTGTGGGCTCTTTAGAACCTAGAACTGCACAAGATGCTGGCTGAAGCCTGGACGGTAACTCTGTGTGTTTCAGAGCATGCAGCCAAATGCCTGTGAAATGAAACACTCGAATTTGTGGGCTGGGACTTTTCAAAAGCTGTTTCCCAAATGTTGCTCTCCTTTTATCTCTGCAGATCGTAGCTCTTGAGGGACTGCTTCACTTTTTCTATTTCACAAGCTATTTTTAAGTGGTTTCTCTCCAGTCTGAATAACTTTGTGAGTGGCCTAATAATAGATGAAACCCAATTCTCAATTTCCCCTCCTCTTTTACATTTTTTAACGATAATCTTAGTCCCAGCAAAAGCAGCTGCTCTATTAGCCATGGAATCAGTATCTATCTATCTATCTATCTATCAGCTTTCCTAATATCAGTGCCATAGCAAGGAAGGTTGGTGCCCAGGGCAAGCCCACAGTGACAGCCCGCCCTTGCCCCGTGCACAGATCCTGGGGGCACATGTCCCCCCCACAATGCTTGCCTGGGTGTGTACGCAGCAGTGGGAGCCCCCCGCCCCCCAGATGAGCTGCTTGTGGCTCCGTCCTGTGCCCTGCCCTGGCTGGGCAGCTCCTGCCCCAGTCCCTGCCCCTCTTCTTCCTCAGTGGGGGGCCTCTGTCTGCCCCTTCCCTCCCACAACAGACTCACCAGCCAGACAATGCTCTCCAAGCTACCGGGCTGGCTGCGTGTATGCTGCGGCTACATGCATGCATGCATGCATGTGGCATTTATCAGCCACATCAGCCAAGACTTTTGGAAATATTTGTAACAAAATATTGACTCATGACTCACCTGTTGGGGCCCCTTTGCTTTGGTGCCCGGGGCAGTTGCCCTACTTACCCCCCTTCCCCCTTTGCTATGGTACTGCCTAATATGACAGGGGCCTATGACTATATTATTCAGTTTAAGATCAAAGCAAAAACAAATATAACGTTATTAGAATGAGTTAAAGCCAGTCTGCAGGGCTGTGAAATAGGAGCTACATTACTAGGACCAGTTAACAGAGAGAAGAATTGCACAAGAAAGGCTAGCTTGATTGGTGGAACATCAAGGCCACTAAAGAGGAGAGAGGGTCCTTAATACCTGTGCAATGAAGAATTTAGAAGGAATCAGGTAGATTTGAATGAGCCATGAATTCAGTTGACTCCCTTAGCACTGCCTGACTAGAAAGGCTGCTGCCACTGCCAAGCAGTTGATTTTAAACATTGTGTGGAGAAGGAATCAAAATGGGACGGGGGGGGATGGGTGTGCAACTGCACCAATGCATTCTTACCTCTGTCTTCAACTAGCCATGGGTAGCAGAAGGGCAATCTTCTCTTTCATGGGTGTATCTTCAAGTCCAGACATGTAGTAGTAAAGCTGCTCTAGAGGCACTGCTTTACAAGCTTGGTCTTCAGCGTGCCTGAGAACAGCTGCCAGGAACAAGCCTGGAGCAACCTCACAGCTGTGTTTTCTGGTCTGGAGTGTGCAATTGGGATTTGATGGTGGGGGGTGTTCAAGAAGAGTCCAGCCAGGACACTGTCTGGCTGTGTGGTGTGGACAGACTTTCCCATTCCTCACCTCCCAGGAAATAGCTTCTCTGGAACTGCTGTAAATGTTCGCTGTCAATGGCCTGTTCCGCTGAGATTGTCAACCGGGCAGGCAGAGAATTTACACTAATGAGAGTGGCCATTTTTGTCATTAGCTATTTCTAAAAGTGTCCAGCTAGAACTCTGGAAACTTGCTGTCTCATAGGGACTGGCTGGAATCTGCACACATCTCTTTGGCTGTGGAGTTTGTGTATTTAAACTAGCTAGGAGCAGTCATCAAAAGTTTAGAAGGTCGGATAAGCTTCTTGAAATCTGCATGATTGTTTAGTGTAAACCCATTGATTCTAGATGACATGGAAATTTAGAGCTGGCTTCTTCTTAATATTAGGTTGTAACAGGTCAACCTAAAAACCCATATTGACGTGGAAAGAGAAAAGTCAAAATTACAAAGAAGGTCTGAACTCACAATGTTCCAACCCAGACTACGAACACCCCAGAGCCCAGAGGATGTTTTAGACTCAGGGCTTTTTGG